CCTCTTCAACTGACATCTTGGAAAGAAAAGATTCCATAGACAGGATAGCCTAGAGATGAACTGACGATAGGCAACAGGCAGAAAAACTGGGATGCTAGTAAAAAATCTGTGAAAAATACCAAAAAATGGATATGAATACCTCTTTCTCCCTCTCAGCCGTCTCAGCTTCGACAGCATCCCATTCCTCAGGTGTTTTCCCTTCAAATTCCAAAGGAAACCGGAATGATCTAAAAAAATTTTAAGAGCGAGGAAAAAGAAAAAAATCAATGAAGGGGGAGACAAGGAAAAGGAAGTAGCTTACTTTACAAGTACCATATGAATATACAGGCGTAGTTGAGGGTAAGTCGCATAGATTTTTTCCATTTCGTCGCTGACTTTACCTGTAAGGTCACGAATGGAAGTAAAGACGGAGAAAATGTGTGACCCTCAAGCTTACCGGCACATGTCCACATCATTACGATATACCACGCTTTCCAATAGTACTTTTTGAATGCAAACTGGTTGAACTCCTCACTGAACAATGGATATCTGCGGAAAACTCAGCAATAAATGAGCACACTTACGGCATAGTGATTCCGGGAGATCGGTACGTGCTGAGTTGAAATAGTCGATCTATCAGATGGACAGGATTGGAAAGGATGACCAAAGGTAGATAGGAATCTAAAAAAAGCACATGAACATATAGCAATTCGGAGCATTTTTGCTGGACCAAAAAATTTTTTTCGGTGCTTACTATGAGATAAATCATTTACCGCGCTTCAAGTATAAAATCACCTGCAGCCACTCGATTCTCAACTGCTCTCTTTGTCAGCCCTTCAATTATCCGTATTGCCTCTTGATTATCCAAACTTGTAAAATGATCCCCAATGATCTAAAAACAATGATAAATTTCGAAAATAGATTGGACTAAGCACATACCAATCTCAGCACAGACTCTTTCAAGCGGCATTCGCATATGATCTTAAAACACGTGGCGTATTCGGCTTCAGAAGGACCTTGCTCGAGCGCACAGTACACTTCTGGCTGAAAAGAGAACAGTACACTTGCGCAGGCTCCTCAACATGCAACTATTAAAGGCAGCGTCCAATGGTTCATACCGATTCGCCATCTTAAAGGCAGCGTCCACGGGAGATATGGGGACCTTACGTGGAGCGTCCAGGCAAATCTGGACATGTGGGGCCCTTACGTGGAAAGTATCTAGGACCCTAACTAAGACACTGCCCAAGCGGCAGCTCAAAAAGTGCACTAACCGCCGAGATATTCGCCTCCAAACTGGGCCCCTGCATCGTACCCGCATGGATTCATGGCACCATCGCGCGGGGACCCACACAAAACTCATTCCTCGCCCCACGAATCCATGCGAATACGA